TTTTAGAATTATTATAAAAAATATTTAAACCAATAGTAAAGTTATTCTATTATTATTCAATATTTTTATCAGTAACTTCATGTTCGTTATTATTCAATATTTTGGTCAGTAATTTTATGTTTCCGTTATTATTAAATATTTTGATTAGTAACTTCATGTTCCCGTTAGTATTCAATATTTTGATTAGTAACTTCATGTTTCCATTAATATTCAATATTTTGATCAGTAATTTAATATTTTTGTTATTATTAAATATTTTGATCAGTAACTTCATGTTTCCATTAATATTTAGTATTTTGATTAGTAACTTCCTATTTCTGTTAATATTCAATAGTTTTATCAATAATTTCATGTTCCCGTTAATATTCAATATTTTAATTAGTAACTTCATGTTCCCGTTAATATTCAATAGTTTGATCAATAACTTCATGTTCTCATTAATATTCAATATTTTATCATTAACTTTATACGAAACAATTGTACGGATACCGTTGTATTACGCGCAATTATGATCAATTATTTGCTAATTAGAAAAAATGCTGATTAAATAAAAAGAATGTGAAAGTAGTATTAGTAAAATAAATAGGATAATTAAATAAAAAATATAAAAAAAATAAATATGATAACAGAAAAGAAGATTAATATAAAATCTCCACTGAATAAGCGATAATAGTATAAAAAACAAATACACCATAAAATAAGAAATATACTGGTGTGGTACACACGCTTTTGTTTTCAAAATATAATAAAATATAAATAAGAAAAACAAAATTATTTTATAAAAAAAGTTTACTACTTTTATAAGAAAGACATATTTTTAAAATAAAAACAAAATTATTTTATAAAAATTGTTTTGCATCAATAATACATATTTTATTTATAAAAATATTGTATCTAAATTTTATTTTTAAAAAAGTAAAAACAAAACTATAAGTAACATAAATAATTAAAAAATAACATTTTTTCGTGTTTGGCTTCATACATTATTTTAAACATATTTATGTTTATTTTCTTTAATTATAAAAAAATAAAATAATTCGTGGGTTTGCTTGAATTCTGATATGGTTACCCGTACATTCTGACGATATTAGTGTGTTATTTGTACGTTTGTATGAGTACTGATGTGGTTAGGACTGTATTTGGGCCTCATTACCCGTGATCTGGACCGAGAACCAGACCAATAGAATCAGATCAATGGACCGACCGAAATGTTACTCGGTCTGGGAATTGATTAAATTTTTTTTTTCCGATATCCAACAATAGAACCAGACCAAATGTCAAATAAGTATCCAACCTTGAATAATATATATTATTCCATCCAAATTCTAGGCCAACACAAATTTCGGTCCGGTTGAGACCAAGTACCCGATAAATACCAGAAAATACTACTCCAGTTTCGGTCCCAAAAAAATTCCATCATTATTTCGGTCCAGTCTCGGTTTATCCTATTACTATTTCGGTCTAGTTCTCGAAAGAACAAATACCCGGACCAGACCGGATCGAAAACATCCCTAGATGTGGTACACACACTTTTGTTTTCAAAATGTAATAAAAACATAAAAAAAACAAAATTGTTTTTCCAAAAAAGTTTATTATTTTTAAAAGAAAAATATTTTTTATCAAAATAGTTTTACATTAATAATATATATTTCAAATTTGTATATATTATCTTAAAAAATATTGTATCTTAAATAAATCAAAAATCAAAATAATAATATTAGTAACATAAATAGGTAAAAAACAATAAATTTTTCTCATGTTTGGATTCATATATTTTTTTTTAAGTTTTCATTTTCATTTTTTTTAATTATACAAAAAATGTAATAACTCATGGATTCGCAAGAATTCTGATCCGGACACCCGTGTGTTCGTATGGGTACTGATCCATTACACTCATGTGTTTCTAAATTCTACAAAAAAAATGTAATATCCCGTAAGTTCACACGAATTTTGATATGAATACCCGTGTTTTTGTACGAGTACTGGTGTGCTCATTCTATTATTTTGTGATTAAGTTCATGTAATTGATTTAATTTATAAAGTATTTATTATTATAAAATTCACACAATTAGTAAAAAATGTATATTAATATAATATTTTAGTTTTATCTGGCTTAAGCTTTAACATTCACATCTTTTTATTAGGTCATCTGCACTAACATAGCATGCATTTGTATTACATAAAGCACATGGATTCAAAAGTTCAGTGGGTGTGCAATGCCATGATTTCACAGTACTTTGAGGGGTACATATCAAATAAGATTGATTCGTCTGTTTCTCTTAAGCGTTGAACTGAAGAGTTAGATTTTCTTTGGCTCTGAAGATCTCATATTTAATCAAGGAGTTTTCAATGTGTTTCTTCATCAATATTAGCTTAAGGAATTAGGATTTGTAATCATGAGCATTGGGAATTTCTTCTTTTACCAATACAAAGTCATCTTTCAAGTTACTTCTGGAAGAAATTTGATTAAGGTCGTGAGTTGTTAGAGTTTACGTCTTATCATAGGTAAGATTTATTAATACCCAACTAAAGATCGTGAATTTTCATGTCAAGGATGTCTTCCATATTCCCATGTTCCCTCTTCAGATTTCCTCAAGGCTTTACCATTGTGTTGATGTTAGTAAGTGGAAATGGTGATTGTTAAAGATATTATACATTTCATGGATTTTGAATGAAACCTTTGAACTTGAATTAAAACAACAAGGCAAGATATCAGTTAGAATTCACAAGGTTTATGAAGCATATTCAAGTGCTATTCTAGTTGAGTTCATTCAAGATGCAAGCTGCATCGTCTCTTTACACTTTGAAGCTTTGCAAATTGAAAAGAAAAACAGAAGCATATGGAGGAAGACTATACAAGAAGTGCATTCAAGTGTTATGTAATTTTATGCATGAGCAAGCTCAAAGATTCAAGACTTATTTTATTCGAATTCCATGCCAAATGCTCATACAAGTGTTGTTCAAGATTCATTGGTTGAAAATAAAAAACTTAAAATGTCAAAAAACATTACAAATCTGTGTTCTTACAAAAGAAGAAAGTGAAAGTTATAAAGAAACTACAAGACTTTTCAATGATGTTATGCTCCCTCTAATCTTATTTTGCCTTCAATCTTTCCAACCCTTAAATCATGCCCAAGCTTTCGATCAATCATCATGAATCCATCTTCATAAAACTCTTCTTCGATCTTTCAGGACATGCTGAATGCTTGCCATAAAGCCTCTTCCCACCAAAACTTGCAAAACGTAAACACATAGTACACAAACTTGCAACACAAACTGCGACTAAAAAACCAATTCAGCAATACATGAACAAATAAAGAAAAAATAGTCAATGCAAGGTCCTGCTTTAACACATTAAACCCAAAGACCATACATATATATCCTTTCAAGTCATTAACAAAACACCTATCCCTTATACCAGCCCCGGTGTTCATCATGTAGCTCTTGCATCAAAAACAGAGGCAAACTACTAATATAATCATGCTAACATCAAAGTGACCATGCCTTTTCTAGCTAACAGCTCTGGAAGTTGGCCTATGCTTAACAATTCACAGAATCTGTATAATAAACCAGTGAATTTATTCAGTTAACACAGTGAAGGTGCTAATAATGTCAAAATGGTGTGCAAAGATTCATTTCAAACAAGGGATGATTCAAAACATACCCAAGGCAGAGCTAGTACGAGCTGCAAGATCGTACCAATAAAGTTTCAAGTTCATTCTACATCGAAACATACATACCGCTTGAGATTGTCTATTGATTTAGTCCATGACTATGCCAAAAGCAATGCCCTGCTGTTAAAACATAAAACAGACCGACCATGTGCATTAGGAAAGGGCATGCGCAACAACAGTTCAGCCCTATATCAATTATCCAAACCCGCAACCTGCATTAATAAAATCAGAGAGAAGAAAAAGGGGATTCAATCTCGATTATTATTCACAACTGACAGAGAAAAATCATAGAGGACAAAGAGAAAATGCAAGAAAACTTACCAAAACAGAAAAATATTGAAATTGAAACCAGTTATCATATACAAGCTGCCCTGCATTATTAGTGTAGAAACCAATGGCATGTGATCCGAATTATGACCCTGTTCAAGGTAAAAAATCAAGGAAATATAAGAGATAAGGAAGAAAATTGTCGCAACAGAAAAAGTTAGAAATCCAACTATACCCTTTGTTTCAGTTCAGAAAAGGCAATAGAGGAAAACCATAAAGTAGAGACCGTGGAGTATAACAGAATGAATACCAACCATCCAGATTTCTAACAGAAATAAAAAAATCAACAGTTCAAATCAAAATAGATCCCTAATTGATTTTCTAACCCCTAACCAATTTTTATTTCATCTAATAGATTCCTAAAAGATTCTAACAGCAATAACAGAAATATATAAACATAATTGCTTACCTTCTACAATTCATTCTTTAATACGCTGGAAGAATCACCACCAAAAATCAGAAAAATCTCTCTGCACTATAACCACATCTTCTCTTCTTTCTTCATCATTACATTTGGTCTTCTCCTTGCATCCTTATCTTCATCATTCTTTAATAATCTGGAAGAATCACCACCAAAAATCAGAAAAATCTCTCTCTGCAATCTTCATCTCTCACTCCCCCTTCTGAACCTTTCATCTCTTTCACTCCACTTTCCATCAAAACTTCACTGCTTCATCCACCAAGTTCTCTGTGATTTTAACTCTCCACCTCTTTCAGCTTCATCCTCCCTCAATATTCATCTTCATCATCATTATCATCAAGAATCCGTAATCTGTTTTAATGACAAAGACGCGATAACAAATCATGTGTCAAAACACAACCAATTCAGAAATGCGAGAAGAAGAAGAGGGCACAGGGACGAAAATATCGGAAGAATTCGAAGACCAAAATTTTACCTGGATATCTTTGGTTGTCTGCTACTAATCACCTTTGCCGAAGATGTTCCAGATGTTCTCCATTCGGTAGGTGTCGATCTCTCTCCATTCTTCATCAATTTCGTTATACCGCAACATTTTCTATTAGCAGTCGATGTGGATTTTTGAGAAAGTGAGTTGAATCGATGAAGGCGAGATGATAAGCGGTCATGTGGTCATGGAGGAGTGTGTCGCTAACGTCTAAACTTGAGAGAGTTGGAAGAGATTGAAACTGACTGAGAAACAAAGACGAAGGATGTAGTCGTTGTTGTGTATCGATGAAAACGTAGAGCACCGCCGCAGATTGAGAAGAAGGGAGGTTGAAGCGACACAATATTTTCTGTGAAGAGGAAGCAGAGCTTACAAAGAAGTTGTGCAACCATAAATTTGGGAACCCTAGCCAATACAAAACTTCATTGTTCCGCTCTTCTCACTCTCTCCTTCAATTTGTTTCATTATTTTTTATTAATTGTTAATAATAATGAGTAATGCTATAAAAAATAGATGGATATGGTGATGTTAATTTGGTGGACCGAGCCATAACTCCTATGGGCCTGAGTGGCTTTTTTATAGTAGCCCAATTACTTTACACAAAAAATTGCCAATTGGACCTGGAATGTTGGGCCTGCACCTGGGTTGCCTCAGTATACCTCTAGGCCAAAACTCTACACCCCTGTTTCTTTCTTTTGTATTAAACTTCTTGCTTGTATTTTTTTAGAATTAACTTTTGTATGATATTGTTGAATACAAGGGACTTGGTTGATAAGTTCAAGAAGCTTTGAAGCGATCTAAGAGCGTAATCCTCATCAAGGAAATCCGAGGAAGCTTGGTGTAAATTTTTCTTATCGCTTGTGTGGCTTTGAAGAGGAAATAGACCTACTATGTTAGGTATTATCGTGACTTCATTCTTCATTTCCTCATTTTAATGCTTTCTAGAGATCATGTATAGTAGGGATATTTATCGTTTTCTAGAGATCATGTGAAGTAGGAAGCATGAAATAAAGAGCGTGTGCTCAAAGTCATTGTTTAAAGTCCTGTAGCAGGCACCACATTCTATATGCTAATTGTGGTTGTTTAAAATCCTACCTTTGAAGTAAGTATTCCACATGTGTGTTTATATTTGTGCCTGTGCTATATTACAGATGATAAGCCCTCAAAAGGTGGCGAGCGGGGAAGGTCCGTAATCGACCCCCACACATTCTAGTCTGTGTCATCCTTAGCTCACGTTGTATGTCGATACTTCGGAGTCGTACAGATCTTGTGTATCGAGTGTCGAGTGGGGAAGGGTTTTGCAATCAAACCCCCACGCCTTGTCAAGAGTTTGCATTGGCCGATGCTAACACTCAATGATCATTCATATTGTCTTCTGTCGCGTACCTCAATCTTTTATATCTTGGTTAGTTATTCAGTCGGTTTGGACATCACATTTTTTCCTTATATCCCCTCCCTGCTTATTTGCCTCAGTTGATATGACCCCTTGGCTAAAGCCCCCCTACTGATTTTATACCTATCTAGATCTTCTATATCATGGTTAGGCATTTTACTTGAGTTTGCATGTGCTTCTCATGACATATTACATGTGCTCTCTTCAGCTTATTGGTTTGCTTGCTTGATTTCATCTTTGTGTGCATGTCTTTAGATGATATACCCTTGACATGTTCCCTTAGGAGCTTTTGATTCATCTATTGATGATGATTCAAGATAGACATATTTTTAGGTGATAGACCCTTACTATACTCCTTTAGGACTTCTTGATTCATCTATAGATGGTGGTTTGATATAGACATTAAGATTGTTATCCAAGCATGTCAACATAGGGTAGATATTTCCCTTCAAAACTCAACTTTAGGATTAACCAATGTATGATAACATTAGGGATAAATCTAGGTTAGTCTTCCTTAGATGTTTTTCTTTCTTTTTCATCTTTGCATTAAGACTAAAACTCTTTTTATTGAAAAAGCATAAAACATCTACCAACTTCCAAATCCTTCTTTAAGGTAAGAGATATCAATCAATACAAACTCTTTTGCACCTTCGGGCTTTTCTTTCAAACTTTTTCAAAAGGACATGTTAATTCACTTTTGTGATGACGCATAAGTCTCCAAAGGTCTAGTTGCGGCAGAAGGCAAAATTAATATTGTCCATTAAAAACTACAAACCAACAGAAACTTTTTAGCCGAACTGTGACTGCTCTGATTCCTTAAAGGGATATGTAGGCACTGGGGTAGGGCCTGAATGAGCATAACTTTATTTTCCCTACATTCTTTTCTCCTGTCTTTTGCATGCATTTCCTGTACAGTTTAGATATAGATTCTTACACACCCTTTGATTAGAACAATATCAGTGGATACCATAGAGTATTACGGGTGTGTGGGGTGTTAATACCTTCCCCTCGCGTAACAAACACCCTTACCCAATTCTCTTGGTCGTTCGACCTTAATTTCACCCATCTCAGGTTTACTCGATGTTTACCTATCCCTTCCTATGGGATAAAAAACGTCTGACGGCGACTTCATTGATTTCATTATCAATTGATTGTCCAGACGGTTGTTTCACATATAAGTATAAATCTAAAACCTAAAAAACAAAAAACGTTAAAACTTACACTTTTCATATTGTTTCAATTTAGTTTGCGCCTTCGTATAGATCTTGTTCTGGGCCGTGCTGGCACTTGGCCCATAGATGGGCAGGCCCAATCCAGTGTCTCGGCCTATGGCTCAATAACTTCAAGCCTAAGTCAGATAGTCATTGGATATTTCCCCCACGTGCCTGTTGTACCCTAAGATTTTACCTCTTAATTTCTCAAGAATTCTCTCACAAGATCTCCATTGATTCAAGACTGCGCAAAGTTTGATCAGCTCAAGATACCTCCTCAAACACTGATGACTTAAAACTAGGGTTTGTGTTTGCACAAGTACAATTAGACTTTTAATGCCCCATATAGTTTCCATGGATCATATTGGGCTCTCAAGCATCAGGTCAAAGATGGAACTTCTGAATCCTCGAAAGGAGGAAGAGGAAACTGTTGAAAGGGAAAACCAGATAAAAAAAGGTGTGGAGTTACAGATAACCATGTCGAATTCAAAATTTGGTTCAGTCTGTTCGAACTACATGACTAATCGAAAGGAGTGGTTGCCAGATTTTGACAAATCGAAGAAGAGAAAGCTTGCTTCGATCCCCAAGCTTCGACTGGGCAATGGCTTCCTTCGAGTAACCTGCTTTGATCCACCTCTAAACCCTTCGACACACATAGTTTCGACACTATGAATTACGATTTAACACACCACCTATCTCATTGTGTCTAAACAATCTATATTCATCATGGTTCTTAGTCTTCTGAATACTTCGACATGCACTCCCTTTATCATGATGTCTGCAATCTAATTCTCAATTATGCAGTGTTCTAAATTCATCTTCCCATTCGCTACCTGCTCTCGAAGATAATGGAACCTCATTTTGATGTGCTTGCTTCGACCATGTGCTATTGGGTTCTTCTCCAGATTGATAGCTAACATGTTGTCTATCTTCATGCTTTCTTCAATCCACAAGCTTCGACCATGTGCTATTAGGTTCTTCGCCAGATTGATAGCTAACATGTTGTCTATCTTCATGCTTGCTTCGATCCACAAGCTTCAACTTTGCAATGACTTCCTTCGAGCAACCTGCTTCGACCCACCTCTAAACCCTTCGACACATATAGTTTTGAAACTATGAATTACAACTTAACAAAAACTTGCTGATAATAGTTCATTTCAAAAAGAAGGTACTTGCAACATAGTCTTTCAAATGAGTAATGGAGGAAAAGTTATGATTAAAGATGTGCTCTATGTACCTGGAATAAAGTGAAACTTACTAAGTGTTGGACAACTAGTCGAAAAAAGTTTCTCAGTTGTCATGAAAGATGGAATTTTGAGATTGTTCGACACCAAGAACAATTTGGTCTTAAAATCTTCATTGTCGAAAAACAGGACATTTAAGACAATGATTAATTCGACAGAAGTTCAATGTTTGAAAACTGTTCGACCACAAGGATAATTGGTTGTGGCATTTGAAGTTTGTACATTTAAACTTTCGATTACTTAATCAACTGATTACTCAAGATATGGTTATTGGTATTCTAAGTCTTGAGATGCCTGAAAAAAACTTTATGAAGTTTGTTTAGTAGGAAAGCAATCCAAAAATTCTTTCGTTTCGACTATGCCAATGAGATCATCTTGCATACTCAAAGTGGTACATTCAGATGAATGTGGTCCATTCGAAGAACATACAGTTGGTGGAAACAAATATAGTTTTGTTTGTTGATGAGTTTGGTTTAAAGTTGTGGATCTATGTGATCAAAATGAAAGGACAGAGTATTTGACATCTTTAAGAGATTCAAGATGCTTGTCGAAAACCAGAGTAAGAAAAGGATCAAACTTCTACAGAGATTCAAGATCTTTGTAGAAGGAATCAAGTTGAAGACAAAATTTTGAAGAACATTGATCAAATCCATAGGCCATGTTACATGATCTTGCTTTGCAGGCCTCAAGCTTGTGTTTCACTCCATAGTTAATTGTTTACACAATGAATTAGGCTCTTACCCAAGTATTTAAAGTATTGTCCAAGCCAATTTTTCCTTAATGGCACAAAGTTATCATTGCCATTTTAGAAAAGCAAGTTTATGCAAATTGTCAATGCATTGAGCCTTGTAACCTTTATCTCTGATTGCAAGCAATATCAAAAGCATGAATCAAGTCTCCTGCACCCAACAAACACTAGGCCATGCTTGTACTTGAACTTTGGAACCATGAAAATCCATTCAACTTGATTTTTTCATTTTCAACTAAACCATAACATGTTATCTAAATATTCTAGTTACTACAAGATGCCAAACCTCTTCCCTATTGTTGTACCCAAAAATTTGCCCTCCCATTTTTCTCAAAACATTTCAAGTGAGGCCCTCAAATTTCTCAAGGGAGTCCAAGGGTTGACCAGACAAACTCTCTCTAAAGGCAGTCTACCTCAAATTAGGGTTTCATTTTGCATCAAGATGCTTGAGTCCAAAGGATCCCAAATGCTCACCATTGTCCTAATATGTTCTCAAGATCATCCATGTCAAGTTTCAAGCCTTGCAAAAGAAGTTTGCTCAGCCAGTTGCTCAAAGGACTGAAAATCGACTGTGCTAGGGCAAAAGTCAATTGTGGCCCACATACAGTCAAACTTCAAGATTTTTGGTCAACATTCTCATTTTGAAGTATTATTCATATTTTGATAAAGGTTTGATCATTATTCCTCAAGGATTGTTCACAATTCATCAAAACCCAAAAGTTGCTAAATTAGGGTTTTGTAGGAAAAGTCAACACAACTTTGACCAAGCATAACTTTCTCATACTTTATCAAAAATGACCCATCCAAATCTCATTTTGAAGAGTATGGAATTCCCTACAATTCATCTTTATCTCCCAAGTTCAAAATATGCACTCATAAGAAGATATGAATTTGGACATTATAGGTCATTTTGGAAAGTCAACAAAAACACCTTTTATGTCAAAGCTTCATACATGAACATGGAAGACTCAATTGAGATAAGACCAAAAGGGTTGCTTAGAGGATATCTTGATATTTCTAAAAAGTCCAAAAACACATCTCTAGGGTCAAAATTGAGGGAGTTATGCATTGGCAAAGTTGACCTTTTTTGCAAAATTATCAAAAGTCAAATGTGGCCAAAATTGCAATTTTTGTCAAATGGGCCCAACTTTTTATGCTTGCGTTGAGTTTTTAACATGACCCAAGACCCATGATCCTTTCCATTTGTCATTCTTTTACTTTTGTCATTTATTTTGATTTTATTTCAATTAAATCAAATAAAATCAAAATAAAATCATGAAAATATCAAAACTAATAAAAGCTTGAGATTTTGTGCATGTTTAGGCCTATTATACAGCTGGAAAGAGAATCAAATCGTGCAAGCTTCATTTGGACACAAAAAGATTGGATTTGGCTTGATTTGGAAATATTTGCATAAGGATCAAATCTTGAATCAATGATCTTAATTGAGGAAGATTTGAAACAAGTTTGTAACCATAATTCGTTCTAGGGTACATAAGGAACATATGCAGACCAAAAGCA